GCCCAGAAGTATATTGCTATTATATTGCTGCTGGAAGTATTGCTCTGTAACAGTAGGCCTATGCCCTATACACCTGTACCAACTATATCAGACATCAGACATGTATCACAATAATTTAATAATTTAATTTGTGCATTTAAAATATATTTGTGAACTTCTGAAGTACCTTCGTTTTTCTTGCGTTTATCATTATTTTTCATATTTTCAATCTAGATGTGGACCCGGTAGATGTTAATCAAAATTAATGAAATTTTGCCCAAATTATTTTTTCATCCGGTAGAACATAATTATTATACAGCCAAAAACATTTTGAAAATCAATGGGGGTTTGATGCACCCTATTGGTTACATTTATTTTCATATCTGAAGTAATAAAGCAGCGTTTTTCAAAAGTTACTCTCCAGGCCCACCGTATATGCTCATTTTCGTTGGATTTCAATTCAATTTAATTTATATAGTGCATTTTCACAACATTACAGTGTCTCAAAGAGCTTTAAATTATCCTGGCCAAAGTTCCCAGTGAGCAATCCAGAGGCGACAGTGGCAAGAAAAACTCCCTAGAAGGAAGAAACTTTGGGAGGAACCAGACTCAAAGGGGGAGCCCATTCTCCAGGGGCCAGCAAAGGAAGTCCAAAATAGTAAAGTCCCAGTTTATGAAGTAAAATTGTGTATAGCCCAGGTTTAAATGCAGAAGGTTCAGCAGACATCAGGACTGCAGTTGAGGTCTTATTTGGACTGAACTGACATCACTCTGTTCAAAACACAAAGCATAATAAGTTACTTGACTACCTGCTATAAATTAAACTGGAGCCAAAATTAACCACAAAACACATATGACTTACAGACACCCCTGCTAATAAAATCATTTCTTTTCTATAACTGATTATGGGCTACAAACCATCATGTATTGGTTGAATAAAAAAACAACCAGCATGTTACTAAATTTAAAAGACAAAACCAAACAAAACGGGTCATCAACACATTCCGTTTAATATGACTTTATTTAAAAAATTCAAATGAAAAAATCATTTCAACCAATAGCTAAATAAAACCAGTGAGCTATCATGACCATGTTAGAAAGAAACTTCGGCTTGGAGCCGGTACACGTGGTTAATCCGTATTGCGGAAGAAGTCCAACTCTCGCGAGAATTAACACGAAGGGCCCTTTTGAATACAGGCTGGAAACCCTGTATCTCTCTTTCCTTTAGCTGTCCACGAGCAAGGTATAGTGACGCTCTATGTCTTCATAAATATTGCTAATCTTGTCTTAAAATGTGCGCTTTCTGGCCGTAATGTTTCATTTTTAGTGCATAAGAGTCTTGCAATGCGACGACTTACATGTTAGATGTTTATGGCTCCTTATATTCATGTAGTTTGTACGGAGGATGGGGAGCTTTGCCGCTAGCCAGCGCTTGCCGTAATGGCAGCCCCCATTCGGCGCTCGGTCAGGCGTCTCAAACGTGCTTCTCCGAAACGGCCTCTGGACCGTCTTGGAATTCTAGTCACATTTGAACAGGTTATGGGTTTCATCAGTCACCCGTAAAACAATTTTTGACTATCAATTTGCCGATTTATTGATTAAGTAGAGGCTGAAGAGTGGCTTGCTGTTAGCTTTTTAGCTAACAGCGCAAGACCTTGCTTGGCCTGAAAAACAGTGTGCCGCTGGTTGCAAGACGGCACGATGGCATTATTAAGTTAAGAATGATGGCTTTACGGATATATTTTAAAATACTAATGTTAGAGGATTACGAAGTGGTGTAGTTTTTTTTCCCTTTTAATATACTTTTGATTATCTGCCGTTAAGGCGTAGTGTTTCCCAGAAATGTAATATTGCAGTTGTAAATTTCTATTCCCCCCTTAGATTATTGGATTTTTTCGAGTCCCTGAGCTCATTGCTGTATATTTATGTTCAACGGGAGTATAATTGCTCCTGTGATTCCTGATTTTTCTCAGTTTTGTTGTCCTGCAACATACTGTAGGTTGTGATTGGAGTCAAAGTAAAAGGAAGAGTGTCATGATGTATGTGGAGTTTCTCCATTGAAAAGTAGTCCACTATCAACAGATTTTACAGTCTGAAGTCTTGGGTCACAGCGTGACGTGTTTAGAATAAGTGACACTTCCAGGTTTTAGGTGTTTTGGTCACTTTCTGTCCTGCCTTCACAGATGCCTGGTGTCACAGTGAAAGACGTCAACCAGCAGGAGTTTGTCCGTGCGCTGTCAGCCTTCCTTAAAAAGTGTGTGCCTCACTAGTTTCTTGTGCTATTGTTTATTCCAGAATGTCTGATTTTGTGTATACTCACAAACTTTCCATTATTTGATGTTAATATTTTACTCTTGGGTGAGCCTGTTAGCCAGTGCAGTGGTTAATGGTCTCTCCCTCTTCTCTCAGGTCTGGGAAGCTGAAGGTCCCAGAATGGGTGGACACTGTGAAGCTGGCTAAGCACAAAGAGCTGGCCCCCTGTGATGAGAACTGGTTCTACACCAGAGCTGGTAAGATATTGCTGAGGTAGAATAGCGGGATTTGTGAAATTTTACATTGTTTGTATTATGTCTTTATCCACACTGAGAGTACGGTCAAGATGGTCCCTGGAGCTGGTTGGCTCAGGAGTGACATCACTCTGCTCACCTTGGGATTTGAACCTTTCCGATCACAGGCACAGAGGCTTAACCTGCAAAGCCACACACCTGCAGCCGGTCTGTTTTCCGATTCCATTTTGGACATGTAGATTGTCAAAATGGGCTCGAACAAAAATTTGTCTCTGGTTTAGGGGGATGTGTTACTATGCAGGTTAGGATTTTGCCTGTGAATGGAAGGTCGTCAGTTCAAATACTGTGGCTGGCTGAGTGGTGTCTCCGTCGGGACCTTGAGGAAAAGCCCTTAAGCCCAAATGCTCCAAGGACACTGGCTGACCCTGCTCTCTGATCTTCACTTTACTTTGGATAAAATCATTGTTAAATGTAATCTCCACTTTTTCCATGTGTTTTGAAATCTTGTCCTGGCTTTGTGATGATGAGTTCTCTGAAATTGGGTGTTCAGCTTCTTCACCGGTACTTTGATCTCTCTGGGTGCATTGGTACATGTGCTGTGTAGATGTCTTTTCAGTGTGACCCTCCTTTTAGCTTCCACGGCACGTCACTTGTATCTGCGTGGTGGCGTTGGTGTTGGCTCCATGACCAAGATCTACGGTGGCCGTCAGAGGAATGGTGTCTGCCCCGCACACTTCAGCCGCGGCTCCAAGAACGTCGCTCGTAAGGTGCTACAGTCCCTTGAGGGGCTGAAGATGGTGGAGAAGGACCCAAATGGGTGAGCGGCACCTTTACGCCCCCAGGAAGAATGTTGTTGATGATGTGGCCATATTCTTGCCTGTTTTCAAGCTTGAATTGAACCTCCAGCTTGTCAGATGTCTTTAGATTTATTTTCAGCTGTCGAGTTGTGTAGTGTCTCCTAGCGCTTCCTTGACAACATTGAAGGGGAGTGACTTGTGACATCATGGTTGTCAGTGAGTTTGGCACATTCAGGTATATGAGCCAGGGATTTCTTGGTAGTCTTGTCTTTGCTGCAGGTCTGGTGGACTTGAACTTGATCCCAGGCCTGTCTCTAGATTGCATGTTGTATATGTGATGTTCTGGAACATCCTGGTTATTTCAGGACCTCTGACGCTTTCTGTATGTCTATACAGACTAGCCTAAAGCTTTTGCACTGTCGACAGGACACGTTAATTTTCTGTAGTCGTTGATATGCCTTGTTCCGTGTGGAGTTTCTAGACTGAAGAGTTTGTTCTTTCCCCAGTGGCCGTAGACTGACTCCCCAGGGCCAGAGAGACCTGGATAGGATTGCTGGTCAGGTGAGTTAATGTCGGGTCCCACAGTCTATCTTCAGTGAATATCAATTTCTTTAATGATTTTTGTTTATGGTATTTTAATCTCTTCCTTCGCCCCTTTCTAGGTTGCAGCTGCAAACAAGAAATCTTGAATGATATAATAAATAATTTGAAACCAATTGCCTGACTTGTCGTTTTATTCCAAAGCTGTTTCTCTGCCTCAAGGGTTTACCTTTCTTGATAATTTTGGAAAATAGCTGCTTAATGAGTTTTCAGAATATAGTGTGATACATGGTACCAAAAGCCAATGTTGGTGTTGAATAGCATTAGCATAGTTGCAGTTTAATATGTTGCAGGATGGGCTGGTTAGTCTTTCGTGTTGTTACTGCTGAACGACAGCTATTTACATCAAAACTGTTGTCTGGATCTGCATCATTTGGCGGAGTCGTTGCGTGTCGTGTGAGGGATTTGTGTTCTTTCGGCCATGGTGGTGTGGATGACCAGTAGGCTGTCATGCTGTCTGGTCAGTGTATGTATTAGATGTGAAGAGAATTACACAGGAAGTGTGAAAAGGGCCGAGCGCAAACACGGGTGATATATGGTGTCTGGTGAAGTACTTCAGAATGTGTGCAGATGCTTGTATTTCAGACATTTCTGAAGTGGAGTGTTTGAGACTGGGTGCATTAAAGTTATTTGGAGAAACCCCCACGGATTTGCTATAGAATTCGTTTATCAGTTGCACAGGTAGATATTTACATTCTGGTTATAAGTGAGTGGTGCAAATGAAGTACTGAAATCATATTGTCTGGCCTTACTGTGTGCTAGTTACTAACTTGCTCAGACATCTGGGGCCTGTACTTTGAAGCAGGGTTACTGGCTTATCGGGGTAACTTGTTGGATATAAGGTGGTCTGGGCAAAATGTAAGTGAACGAATATGAAGTCCATTTAACATACCTGCAAACTTGTCGCTTTTCGGCGACAATCGCCGTTTTCATTGTCAATTGGGTCATTCACGTGAATCGTGTAGAACCGGAGAGTTTTTTTTTGGGGGGGGGGGGGCTTGCGTTAATTGACATCTGGGACGATCGGAATCTCAACTGAGCTCGCGCCTGTCAAGAGAGGGAGGTGGGGGTGGGCTTGCGTGCCATGTAGGCCATTATTGGACAATTCTTATAAATGACATTTTTTCTGGACCAATCGGAATCTCAGCGCTTGCTTCAGGATCTTGGAACACTACCATCTGTGTTCGCGCTTATCAAGAGACACCTGACCTAATGTGGAAACTCTGATGGAAATTGAATTCAAGGTAAGTCAGTCTTTTTGGAGCTAAACAACATATATTTGTTTGCTTAAGTCAAATAACGTCAGCTAGCGTTTTTTTCCCCCCATACAGTTAGCCTA